AAGCTTGCGCTGATCGAGCGTCTCTATGAAAAGATATGATTTCCCTGAAAAATGCCGAAATAAATCAAATTCGCCCTTCTGTATTGATTGCTCTAAAATCGTAACTTTTCATAAAGACGCTCAATCGGCGCAACTTTGCACTGTTGCAAAGAGATGGTGAAAGAACCTACAATACCGACTGCTCCGATTTTTGTTGCAAGTCTCCTATTTTTTATGACCCTGCAGTAAATCAAATTTTGAGTGATTTTGAGCTTCCATCTCCTTCATTTGTACACATTAACGAACTATTCAGGTACAGGTGCAAAGAGCATGAGCTCCTCTCTTAAGCAAAATTTTGATCGTACAAATTCGTTGAGAATTTAAAGAGTTATGAATTTTTGAAAATGGTGCGAACGAACTTTCGTGCCAGCCTAATATTAGGTTGATTCATAATTAATGCACGTTTTTCTCACCTTTTCTTCCAGGAGCTGGTATTTGATGTGTAATCAACTTCCTCAAAAACTTTTTACGCTATCTAAAAGAGCGTTTCTTCTAGTTTCTTACGTGTCCTTTCGCTTTCGTAAATCTCAGTTCATTCCAAAGTTCTGAGCCTTCAAATAAAAGAAACTAAATCTCAAAATCTTTGCTTTTCACTCTTTTTGCCCTAAATCCATTAGGAATAGCCGGATTAATTTCAAAAAATATGTATAAGGATTAGAACACTTTGTGCTACAAGATGCTATTTGAACAAAATCCTCCATGAATTCTGAGCCGAGAAAATTAATTGCGAACTTGAACGATCGTCGCGGCCCTTCCGTGCCATATAAAACTTTGAAGCAAAAAGGTGACTGCAGGTCTTTTGCACTATCCAGCAAGGGTAACCTAGTTCATTTGATGGTAGAATAGCGGTAGGGTTTTCTCACCTTCCAGCTGAGAAAAACGAAATAATTTCAAAATGACCGATTTTTGAACCCGCCGAGATGCCAGAAAAAAGTGAGTGCTTTCGACTTTTTCGCAATATTTTCTTTCAAAAATTTCCCGTTAAATCCAAACTTGGCATTACTGCTCAAGAGACCTTTGGCTACAAGAAGAGCGAAGTCTGCTTTATCCTACTTCATTTCAACATAAGTTATGCTCTCTCAAAATGGATGCTTCCGAAAAAAGTTGTTGGCAATCTTCAGGTCAGAAAATCTTTCTTGTGATAGATACAGTCACGCAAAAGTATCTGTTCTATAGCCATTGATTTAATGGTTACAGTAGTTTTTATTGCGCCCGGATATGTCTTTTCAAGAAAGAATTATCTCGGTTGAAAGTTGAAGTATAGAAAACGTGCATTAATTATGAATCAACCTAATATTACATCACTGATGATGCAGTAATAGGTTTGAGAATTAGCTCCAGAAAACAGCCTCAGAAAAACACATCGATGCAATTTTGGTAATAAAATAAAGTTAACGGTTGTAAGACTTTAGACTTTACAACCGAAAACGTATATGTTGCTACCAGTGGTGTACCCAGGATTTCGGCTCGGGACGGCAAAAAAAATTTTCAAATGAAGGTGCGTGGCGTCAGCCACGCCCCGAAAAAAAATTTTTTATAAGGCTAATTTGGATTCTTAGAAAATTTCAAAAATTATTTTAATTGTTTACATAGTTAAGTAACTTCAAAAATTTTGCGACCCGTTCTCGGGGGGGGGGGGGGGAGGGCGCGAGTCCCTTCCCCCCTCGGTGCGCCACTGATTGCTACTGATATAAAGCTCCTCGCGTAAAAGATTTGACAGAATTACTAGCAAAATTATTAAAGGAAAATGAGCTTTTGCCAAAGACCATAATAACAACGAACTGTTTTCTATTCTGTTTTCATTAGGTTATTAGACCAACCTATTTTCACTTCACAAGCAGTGCTAACGTACAGCGAGTATATGAGGTAATTTATAAGCAAAACGTCATGGAATGCGTTCAAAAGTTAACGTGTACCACCTTATTTCAACATTCTCCTCTTTAGTTTATTGCCAATCTAAGGGATATCACTGTGCTAAAATTTGAAAAAAAACCACTGTAGCCATACACATCAACGAAGTGGGTAAGCTTCACATGAGACCGGCATGCTAGTGAGTTCGGAACCTAGTTGGTCAAGCCTACTCACTAGGTTCCGAAACGCACAAAACATAGGATAAGATCCGTGGTTGCGATCATAGAATTTGAAAACCTGAATTTTGACGAATGTGGCCACAGGTGGTAGAGCCTTCGCAGTTTGATGCACTTCTGACTTATACCACATTTCAAAGCGATAACTGAAGCGAAAAGACAAAATGTTGATAGCAACTAGCCATCCAATGCATGAAGAATCGCAACGCTAATTCAAAAAACATCAAACAGCGGGAAACCGCTGCGGTCCAGAAGCGTGGATGCAAATTCAGCACCTTCAGTTACTCACCAGTTGGAATAAAAACTTCTTTTGAGCAAATGAGTCATGATGTCGCTTGAATATATGATTATAGGACTAGAGAAGCTTGGGGCAGGAAGGTATGTCATGATCAAAGCTTCGGGAATGACTATCCGGAGCGCAACTTGGCGAGACTAAACCTATATAGTGGATCGCGTGACCGCCAAGTGTAAGTAATAACAAATTCTAGTTGAAGTTATAGAAGCTTCGAATCCAAACACTAGGTCAACTTTGCTGGAACACTCAGGCTTTTTTTGCTTCCTGCTTTCCAAAGCGAAATCCATATCAAAACTCACGGATACGGTTGACTATCCACCACGAATGAGTTGTAGATCCACTGTAAAGTGAGCCCCACAGTTTATAAGTCCCACATAATATTATTTTGAGTCGTGTATGTCATTCATTAGCAATTTTCGTGACACACAGACAGAGATGGCAAGCTCATCACTATACAGTATGAATAACACGAAATATAGCTCTCACAATGGCGATATACTAATTTGTAAGGAAAGTTTGAGTATCTTCTTGCACGTTATTGTTTGGAGGTACGTAGGAATTTTTTGGAAAGAGATTCGATTTTGAGCCAGCTAAGAAATTTTGATTTTTTGCTCCAAATTTTGAATGGATTACGACTTAGGTGGATACTTGATGGCCTTCTTGTAGAGCTTGCTCCGCTATATCGAACGGTACCCTAAGTCTGTTCGGAAAACAAAAACAGCTCTTTATTCGAAGATGGAGTTTATTTTTTGGGTAGTTTATCTATAACCTAAGAGTAATCCATCGACGCTCACAATTGCTTTGTGGTAATGGGCAATAAGCTAAGATATGCTGAATTATATCATCTTAAAGATGCTCGATGTTCTTCGTTACGTTGCTAGCGATATTACGCTATCCGCCGAAGTGCGATTTTCGAGCATTTCGCGACTCCTAGATAGAATAGACCCGTGCTTAGCAGCTTAAGTTCGCAGGCGACGTTCTGCATCTGCAAAGCAACATTATTTCGACACCAAGACCAAACTAAACTACAGAGTGTGGTCTCAATCAGCGCAGAACATTCTATTAGCTCTATAGATCTTTTTTTACGGAAGACTGTGAGGCAAGCGCGACTAAAAACATTCCAATTTTATTTCCTTAGCTGCCTCTGACGTCCGTCGTTCAAGCGCGTATAAAAGTGAGCTCAGATCCACGAAAGCCAAAAAGCATTCTATCCTTATGTGGTATTTTAGTCGAAAACTACTCTCTCCTCTACCATATTTTAGGATGAGAACACTCTTTCTTTTCCTTCTTCTGGTCTGCGTAAGTGCTGGCCTGCTCGATCTGAACAAAATAAACCAACTTAAGAGACGGCTGGCTGAATTGCATTCGGTGAGTCAGCGTAACCATCGGCAGAGGCTGGAAGAATCTTGATTTCAGGATATAGACGTTGAACGTCAACTTGCAATTCGTAGAAAGCTGGATAGATATGCGAAAGTACCGAAGTTGAATCTGCAACAGCAAAATAATCTCAGAAAAAGGCTGAAGGTAAACTGCTGTGGAAGCGAAGAATCTATAAAATCTTTTCAGGCACTGAAACCTATCCAATGGACGGAAGATAACTCGATTGAAGCTGTAAACGAGAAAAGTGGAATGTCTGAACTACTGTATCAAGGAGATATAATCCTAACAGAGTAAACCCAAACAGATTTGAGCAGGCAAATCCGCATCTCCACACTTTCTTATAGAGCGCAAGCTAATGAGATAATTGCGGAAGAAAATGGTACACGTCCACGAAGACAAGCAGATGACAACCTAGGCAAATGGGATAAACGCTTGTATTATTCTTTCGACTCTAGTGCAAGTATGTGACACACACTAGTCCTGATCGCAATATTACCGCAAAAGGTGCCTCTCAAACTTTTGCAGCTGAAGAAATGAAGGCTGCCGCTCGAAAAGGAACAAAATTGTGGAACGATACTACATGCATCGACATGATTGAAAGCGATAGCGGTAAAAATACTATGAAGAGAATGGCTTGGTGACAAGCAGCTTGCATTCAGCTCCCGAACGTGTAGAAGTTTATCGTGGAGAAGGATGCAGTTCTTTAGTTGGAAACGGACACAGAGTGCAACAGCTTTCTCTGGGTGATGGATGTGAACATGTAGGCAGTCATATTTTCAAAAACTAAATAATATGAGATAAGTTATCTGATAAATGTCACAGATGGATTGAAAAATGAAAGTGAAAAAGAATGAGGAAAGTTGTGAGAATGCATTAATTTCTTTTTTCTTTCAACAATCTTCCTCGCTTGCCCTAGTTCTCCAAAAATATGAGGTTTTATTTTGTACGATCCTTTATCCTAGTACTGGATTGCTGCGCACGAGTTTGGTCACGCTCTCGGGTTGCACCACACTCAGGCGAGGTATGACCGTGACAACTACGTCTCCATCGCTACCGAAAACATCAAGGTAGGCTTAGAAGGTTTGCATACTTGATAGGAACTAAATGCGAAAGCAAATGATTTGAGGATGGTCGTGAGAACAATTTTAACAAACAAAGCAAAAAATCATCTAATAACTATGGCCTACCCTATGACTTCGGCAGCAGGATGCACTACACAGGATATGCGTAAGTCTACCGTCAAAGGTCCCAAGCACACCACTCTACAATTTGTCTTCCAGTTTTGCGAAAGATAAAATGAAGCCAACGATAATACCTCACGAAGAATATGAAAATTACCTCGAAACGATGGGCTCACCATTTTTGAGTTTCTATGACGTACGTCTCATGAACAAATTCTACGGTTGCCTCGGTAAGCGTTAAAGCGTTCAAAGTGTTCCTCTTCAGTGCCACATCCTTATAGACGATAGTGGCATAGCGAGACCGGGAGGGAGAGGAAGTGCGCTTCCGCTAACGGACAGCGATATTTTTCAAATTTACTTATATGGGTTATAAAATTGTGGTGACTCGTTTATATTTGCATATAGTCAAAAACTTTTGAAAAATTTTTGAAAGTCAAATTAGATTCGGAGAAAAATTTTCGGTGGCATAATTGCGCGTTTCCTTGCCCAATGTAGAACTTTTTTGTTTGGATACTAATTAGGGTAGATGCGCAGTTTGTCAAAGATAGTCAGAGAAAGATTGTCCTAAAACTTTTCTAATTCTAACAAACTTGGAATAGCTTGAGCGATATACATTAGGAAAGAATATGGTCAACTATGGTTACTACACCTGAAAATAATTTTCGATTGAATTAAGTTTACAATATTCTTGTCTTTCCGTCCCTACAAAATTCTAATTAACAGAGCTTATTAGATTAGTAACAGTTTTGCCAGAAGTAAAATATGAGCAGTAAACGATTCTTCTGTAGATGTTGATAGACTTTAAAATTTTGTGGTGTCAAACACTACTTAACTATGGAGCGCTGAGATATCTGTCTGCTTGTCTGTGTATATCTGTCTGTACGGAATTTATAGAGTGCAACCGTCTCGAGCTACAAATTTGCATAACATGGTTACCGGTATGCAGGTCCACCAGTTCAAGGTCAAGGCGGTCAAAGAAGCGCATCCTTCGAAAATTGCGCAAAGCGGGTCAAAGTGACTTTTGGCCTTCAGAACTGGGATCTGGTTTGAATTTTTTGCAAAGCGATGAATTTGCTTGGAAAGCAAACGTGCAAGCAATAGACTTCAGCCCACAAAGTAATCAGAAAATTTACTTTTCGGAAACGGTGCCAAAAGTGTCTTTTGCATAGAAGATTCTTTCATACAAAGCTACCGAGCTCATTTGGAAAAGCATCTAGAGTGGATTGTTTTTTTCTCAACTTGCTATGGTCAGCATTGCGAGATGTGTTCCATAGCCATCAACGCGCGAGCACGACGAAGGCATATAGAACCAGTACAAACAGTGGGTTCTGCAGAGCAGAGGTGACGCGCTGTTTGTAATGAGATGTGAAAAGAACACGCAGAGCTAAATTTTTTTGACCTATTGATGTCATGTCTTCCACGCCAAGCAATCAAAGTATGAATGATCTACAGACAAATGCGCATCTATTCACTCGGCTGCACAATGCAAAAATGGTGGCTATCCAAATCCTCGAGATTGCTCCAAATGCATTTGTCCGCATGGATTCGGTGGTGCTGTTTGCACCGAAAGAGTATGTTATTGTAAAGCTTTGCTATTATAACTTAATGGTTGTAAATTATAGCCAAACACCTGCGGTGCAACTGTCAAGGCTCTTTCCGAAAAGCAAAGTATTGAAGACACTTTGGGAGATATAAATGACGCAACATCACGTGATGAATTCGATATGTGCTACTACTGGATTAGGGTTTGAATTTAGAAGAAACAAAATTATAGCTTGGATTCTAGCATTGATCAATTTCAGAATCCTCAGAAAAAAACAGTCGAATTAACAATCACAGACCTTGTTATTAAATTTAAGAAATCAGGCATGACATATGCAACTTCCGATGTGGGCTGCACTTTAGGAGGAGTTGAGATCAAAGCACAGACAGATTACAAGAACAGCGGCTACAGGTTTGCGCAAATGTACAGATGTGCAAGATGCAGACCTTGTCATTTCTGCCTTCCAGATTCTGTAGCATGCAAAACAAGGGGAAGAAAATTTATTCATCAAACAGCGTTATTCCTGTCATACTTTACAGCCGCAAGGGAGCTACTGACCTCCAGTTGGACTATCGCACAAGTATGTGAAGACTAATTATTGTAGAATTTTTTTAAATGGATTTTTAGTCTGAACGAAGCAGTGAAACAGCGCAGTGCTGTCTGCCCGGGCAATAAAGATTTTGAAGCATTTTTTTCGTTTTTGAAAATTTCGGATTTAGTCAATGCACCGATGCAGACATGGGTCATGGGTGTGGTGCAAGAGGAACGATAGTAATAAAATAAAAGAAAAACAAAGTATATTTAATTTCCGTTTCGAACCTTTCACTATACGGAAATTAGATTGAATCGTGAAAAGATCATAAATTTAAAGGCAGTGGGTTGGCAAAACTCAACTCAGGATTTCAACGCGGTGGATTCCTTATCGCCCAAGCTTGAAAACAGTGCAATCCCGGTTGTACAGCATGCCTTTTCTGAGAAAAAGGCTCTCAAACTTACACGCGCAGACTAATCTTACACAATCCGGACGAGTTGGCAAATCCCTTCTCACCATTGGAGGCTGCCCGCCGCAATGCTGCAAACATTGGGTCCTGCAACGATTCAGCATCATCAGCCTTGCTACACGCATCCAATTCCAAAACGAAGAGCATTGAAAAACGCTCGTTTTCGCTGTTTTCAAGCCCTCAAAACTACATTTTCGGGATCAGCGTATTGAATAACCCCAGGCAAGCGAAAATTTCACTAGGTTGAAATTTGCCGAGCCACTGCCTTTAACAAGTTGCTTTACCGAGCACTAGCGAGCAAAGAAGCGCGTCATCGTTGAAATTTTCTAATGGCTATACAAGCTGCTCCGGTACCAGTATTTTAAGATATTGACGAGCATGCAAATTTTGAGTTGTCTGCCTTTCGCGACCGATGCCTGTCACGTATCGGTCAACATTTCGCAGATAAGATCACGCATACTGCCATTTACAGTGTACCTACTAGCTGTGTGAGCCTGCCAGAATAGATCAAGGTTATTTCTAGATTAGTGCAAAAGAAAAACTTCTGAAGTGCGCAGGAGGTTGAGAAATACCCACAAACCCTCGCGAACGCGTCGAGTGACCCAAGCGAGGCTGCTCGCGAGGACCCGAACCGAGACCATGACGCTCGGATTAAAGCCTTTGTACCTCCCTTTGGGATGGACTTGCACACTTGTGTAATTCTCCTATTTCAGAGCTAGGATCAATTTGACTCTTTCGCAGAAGATGAATTTGTCACCAGTGCTTAATGAGTTTGGAACTCACCATGCAATGCTAACCATCACGAATGATTTGTAAACTATACTCATTCTAAAAGTTATTCCATGTGAAATGGTGACTTTGGCAGAAAAAACGTCTTTGCGCGTGAACCACGTGAACAAATGAGAATTTAAATCACTCACTAAGTTTATTTTGGCTTAATAATTACCACGAGGACAAAAGCCACAAAGCTAGGCTTCTGAGCAAAATTCCTCTCATTTTCTTAAGTAAAGTCTTGACAGATCAATTATTTACGCGATAGTTGCTTTTCCAGTTTTCGAAGGAAAATTTGAGTTTTGGTGATTTTTTCGGCTAAGGCGATGGCTTGCACATATACTCTTTGCCTCAACTAGATCGCCGGCTGGAGGGCGGGCTCCGTAACCTGATTAAAGCTACTAGAGTGTCTCATGATTTTTCACCGTTTTCACTAGAATCTTCGTCTTTTTGCATCTTTCCTTTATTTGATGTGGCTTAAGTATTCGTTCAAAGGGCAAAGCAAGCTCTACAAGATGGCTATTAAGAGTCTGCCCAAATCGTATCCCACGTGGAGTTTTGAGCTGAAATCTGATGGCAGTCGAAAACGAACTTTAGGATAAAAAGGATAAAGGATTCGGCGTCTTCAATACCCTCTGGGGGCATGCGCCGAACGCACACACTAATTCACTAACTTCATAGTCGAAGAGGCAATTGTATGCGTGCGAGCCTTTTACAGTGACTTGCGGGGGCCAGCCGTTTCCAAGTCAGTGCTTTTATCTTTGTAGGTGCCCCAGTTTTTAAAAAATGCTGATGTCTAGGATAAAAACGATAAAAAGTTGTGAGACACCCTAATGGAAAATGATGAGCATGTTCGCGAGGGGGCGCAGAGCGCATCGTGGACGCGAGTAGTCGCCTACTGGGTCATGCGGCTCCCCCTTCCAGCAGGCAATCTGGTTGAAACAAAAGATAAATGCAGATATACTTGCGATTTTGTAAAAAGTCTAAATACGGCTACAATTTTGCAGGCCAAAAGCCGCGTGGACCCGTTTGATGAGACGATTTTGTGGGTTCCACACAGCGAATCCGCTCGTAATTTTAAATCGTGTACCTACATGGCGAATGCATCATGCAAAATTGTGGCTCGAGACTTTTGCTTCAGGTCACTCTACGAATTTCTTGACAGGCAGATATATACACACACAGACAGACAAACGGTCTTAGCGCTTCATTATAATCATCATCATGACTTATAATAAAGCGCGTGTCTGTCTGTCTGTGTGTGTTTATGTCTATCTGTCACAAAATTCATAGAGCGTTTTGTAGGCAAGGTCTTGAGCTGAAATTTTGGTCATAGCACCCTACCAGCATGTAGGTAAAAAGAGCAAAAGCACAAGTTGATCCGATATTTGGGACCTTTAAAAACTGCGCGTCAAACGGGCCCACGCGGTTTTGGCACGCAAAACTAGGTCATTAATTCGACTTTTTGCGAAGTCATGATTTGCCTGACAAGTACATCTGCGCCTCATGAATTCTAGCCCAAAAAGTTCTCAAAAAGATTGTTTTTCTGTGACAACAGCGCCAAGAAGTGGAGATCGCTTAGACAGTCGACTTGGCAAGGTTTTACTTCAGACTTGGAAAGATTTTTGCACGGAAATTTAGCTCAAAGGGACTATTATCCTTACGACGACTACCAAGCCAAAACAAATTCAGTAATCTAATCAAATTCGCAGGTGTTCCTTTGCGAAAAGTTTTTTTCTCTCAAAATTACCGATTTTACGTGGAAATGCTTCAAGAATGAACAGTTGTTTACTATTCACGCGCGACGTCGCATGAACGATGCTGATTGGTACAGCCTATATGTGACTTTGTCTGTGTGTGTGTCTGTTACGAAATTCGTGGAGCGTATTCCAGCTAATGTCTTGAGCCCAAATTTTGCATGGCGCATGCTGTCGGTGTGGGAGTTCAACATGCAAAAGCGCGAGCGGATCCGTCGAGTGGATCCCTCAAAAACTGCGCTGCAAACAGATCCACTTGGCTTCTGGCCAGCAAAGTTGAGCCTGTACCACCACTTTTTGCAAAGTCTTGGATATGATTAACAAGCTAGTGTGCAAGCCATGGTCTTTAGCCCAAAAAATTGAACTAAAGTTGATTACTTTACAAAAACGGCGCCGAGAAAAATCAGTTGCGTAAATGTTCAATCTGCCAAGATTTTACCTAACCATTTGGGAAAATTTTTGCACAGAGATGTAGCTCACGGGGATCACCGTCGTTATGGTGACTACCAAACCATAAAAGTCCAAAAATCGGTTCAAATTTGCATTTATTCTTCTCGGAAAAGTTTCATCCACGCGAAAATGCCCATCTCACACAAAAAAGCTTTCGGAATGAGTAGTTGTTTACAATTCATTCGTGATAGCCTGCATAGCGCGGTAAGTTTCAATGTCACTATTATGCGGGAATGAGCAAAGCATACAGAAAGTAGGGCCAGTGCGAGCCTCTGCGAAGCAGAGGCGACGCACTGGTTCATGATATTATCTGTAACCATACAGATTGCATATTGCACTTTGACAGAGAATATGAGTTTATCCTGTCATTTTGTCATGGTGTCTGGCAAACAATGAAGAAGAACTCAACGGCAAAGCGCGTATGCAGAGATTTAAGAGCATTGATAGAGTAGCAGAAAGGACCAGCCTTAAAACTGCACCTAGTGAATAAAGAGCCGTGCTTGGAAATGTTGCAGGAAGATCCCTACGATTTTCATGATGAGACTGACACTAGAATTTCAATATTTTTGAACCTGTTTGTACCATAAATGAAGAAGAATGTCTGTTTGTCATGTGTCTATGTGTCTGTATATCTAGGAATGAGAAAATTGCATCTCTGATCCAATCCGTAATAGCAAAACTTTGCATACAACTTCGGAGCGAAGCGGGGGTCGTAAGCCGCTTTTCGTCATCGGTCTTATCGAATTTATCGATTTTTCGAAAACTTTGAGCAACGGCGAGGCTGGGAGTTGGCACAGGTGGGTAAGTGAGAGTGCTAATTACGAATACAATATTAGTTTATAAATACCAGTCGCCTTTGCCGACTTTGTCGAATTTTTGCAAACTTTTAACGACAGAGGTGAGAGTTGGTACAGCAGGTAAGCAAGTATGCCGTCCCAATATTATCGGTCCACATGTATAGATAAACATAATATCCGCAATTAGAGTGTTCTGCAATCATTCAAGGCGACTTTCGGAAAAGTATACGGTCCAAATTTAGGACGATATCTATGAGGATGTGAGTTCATAAGCTCATAGGTCGGCGATCAATACAGATGAGCATCTTGCTTAAGCATGGTCTGATAGCACTGTCTCTAGTGATGTCGAATCACAAAAAACTCAGACACTGGGACCGGCCGAGTCGCGGCTTCAAAAGGCCTTTCCGGGCCGTCCGCGGCCTTAATTTGTGGGCGTGGCCGTAGTGCGGCCGAGCCGCGGACCTTAATTCATGTCACTATCATTGCACCGGCCGAGCCGCGGACTGAATATGGCTTACCGGCTCAGCCGCGGCCTTAATGATGGGGGTGGAGCATTGCACCGGCTGAGCCGCGGACCAAAATCTTTATAATGAAACTCCGGCCGAGCCGCGGCCCATATCAGATAAGGTGCGCGGCTCAGCCGCTCCCAAAATCTGACCATAAAGAATACTTGCGTGATATACGACGCATGATCAGGCTGCCCTCAGTGTCCATATCCTTCGATGTCTTTCCAGTCTCCAAGGCGGAAACAAGATCAATATGTTGTACATCCTTGGATAGCACCTTGTGTTGTCCAACGTTGAAGTCGGACTTGGTACCCGAAGCCGCTATGTAGGTGGCTTCAATTTTTGTTTTTTTACTGTGTAATTCTAAGTGCCAGTGAATAAAAAACAGTTCTACTGTATCCGAGCTGAATGAACTAGACAGCCCGACAACCAGCTCCGGCTGAGCCGCGGCCCAAAAGCGGACGAGCCGAGGCCATTCTCCGGCCGAGCCGCGGACCATTCACCGGCTGGCCCGCGGACGCTGCGAAATTCCAGCCGGAAATGGGCCGCGGATCGTCCGGTCCCAGTGTCTGAAAAGGAGCAGGTAAGTTTCCCAGCAGATTTACGAATAGCGCAGGCAATTTCAGGAACTTGCATAGTATCCAGCATTCTCTCACCACAGCCCCACTAAAATGTGTTTACGGCGAACAAAGAATTTGAAGAGCTATATATTTTCGCGATCAGCGTGCCCGAAATCCGACGAAGTTTCCGGTCAATCCAAGAACATTAATATTTTAGCCGAAACCCGTTCGTGAGCAGAGCTGAAACGAGGAAAAAACCGAAACAGGATTTCTTAGAGAACTTGCGCGTAGAGGTTATCTAGCCTCTTCTGATTATCAAAAAAAACACACCTGCTTTGCAAATTAGCGTCTGTGGGGTTTTAGAATGCGTTCGGCGGATGCTCGCAAGGGGTATTGAAGACTCCAAACTTATCCTTATATTCACCAGTTCTATTAAGTGAGTAAGAGAACTTGAAGAGAGTATACAGAGAATGAAGCAAATTTGACACAAAACGGTAAAACTGCGCAGGTGTGAGCCTTGCATATTAGCAAGTTTTCTAAGGCCCCGGACAAACTTCGCGATTTGATCGTCGCGACTCAGTCGCCAACATTTCCATTCATTTTCATTTCATATTCAAAAACTTCGGGCTGGAAAAGTATCACAACCGAAATGCAAGTTGATCGGCATGGAATGATGTTGTAACAATTGTCTCTTCGCGATTCAGTCGCGACGATCAAATCGCGTGAAGTCTGCCCGGGGCCTGATACAGATCATTTTTGGGGGCTAACATCACAACCGGAGTAGTATAGTTACAATAGGAATCAAGTACTCTCAAATGCAAATATGTTTACGACTCTATGAGCTAAAACTTTCAAACAACAGAACGCGAGGTGCTTCATTTTCATTTGATAGCTTGCGGCGGTCGCTCTATGGCAAGGTGTATTCTCTTCATCGATGTTTGCGAACATTGATGCAATGGAGCCATTTCAGTACAAGATCCGAACGCTCGGAAAGGAGCAAAACGAAGAAGAAGAGATCAAGGAGAAGCGATAGCGAGAGAAGCGAGAGAAGCAGCAGAAGCAGGAGTAGGAGAAGACGTAAGATAACTTGCCCGTAGAAAGCGGCTTTGAAAGTAGTTGTTGTGTTTTGCAGAACATAGGCCGTCGAGATCGGGAAGAAGCGGTTCTGAGAGCCATAGATCTTCGAAAAAGTCTTCGAAATCACACAAAAGCAAGCGAAGTTCAAGAAGATCGCGGCGATCACGCAGATCTGAAAGGAGCAGGGGGAGGGTAGGCAATCTTATGCTTTAGCGCCACCATCAATGGATCTACGATCTCGGTCTCAGATAGTCGTCTCATCGTAAGGCTTGAGATATACCTGACGATAGAGGTATAGCGCTGCCTTTAGCTGCTCGTGGCTGCTGCGCTGGGTACGATTTGGGTGCAAGAACGAGTAGCTTTACCCATTGCTACGCTTAGCTTAGCCCATTAGGAAAGTAAGTTTTGAAAACTACCAAAAACTGAAGAATATGATTTACATGAGTCCAAAAAAGTCATCCTGTTCTCATCGACAAATTTTTTTAAGAAGCATACACTTGCAAACCAAATGTTGCACTGGTACTAAGAAAATAATCATTACAATTATTTAAGCGGTGTCGCAATAGAATCTTGATTTGTGCTTGAGGCAAAAACCGAACGACCTAGGTCATAGTTGCCATTGATGTATTGAGATGTACTGGTAACATCCACTAAATCGTAAATCCTCTAACTTTTTTTGTTACTCCTTTGATTTCACTTTTGCTTCGCAAAAGTTCTGTGGGGTTTTTCATATTTAATTCTTCGTCCACTTTGTCAATTCTCTGTTAATTTTATATCGAAGCATTTGCGTTTTGGTCTTGCACATTTGTCACAGATCAGTAACGCAACAAGCGCTCTAAAAATCCTTCAGAAGTTCAAAAGGATGTTAGAAACGGGCAAATCCGAGCAAAATCAGCGCTAGCAGCGTGAAGCAGCTGAGAGAAGCTCACCAAAAGTGAGCTTCATATCGCATAGCATCGAGGAGCAGCTACGAGCAGCAAGCGGCAGCTACGAGCAGCGCAGCATCGCCAGCTATAGCGGGTCTGAATCGCGTTGGCTGCAGCAGCTAGAAGCAGCAGCGTCGCATGGCGTCAATCGATACTCATAAAAGGCGTTGCTGCTGGCAGCGCCTTATCGTCAGCTATAGCGACCCATCGTCAGGTATATTTCAAGCCTAAAGGGTCCAAGCATTAGAAAACTTACCCCCCCCCCCCCCCCGCCTCTTCCTTACTCCGCCCAGCTTCGGTTGTATGGAGTAGGCGACCCTTCCACCGCACATACTACTGTGACTAAAGAAATGAACGAAGAGATTGCCTGCTGAGCCGTTGCCGTTAGCGGTCGGTAGCTTACATTCAAAAAACTCTAGCTGAGAAGCGGTAGGCTACCTAAGAAACGGGTACAGGAATATGTGTTTTCAAATAAAGAGTGGTCTTGGAACGTTATCATAAGAATCAATCGTTCATCTTCTTCAACCGCGATATCTACACTCTGTGTCAACCGTGCTCTTTTCGCCGTAGCAAATACGCATGCGCAGGGGTCATTGCGCAGCGATCTCCGATCGATGGCAAGTTTGAACGCACAAGCGGTACGTCCCGAACGAGGCATGAGGCTCTAACGTTGCGCTTGAGCTGATTGCAAAAGGAGCACATCATTGACACAGACTGTATCTCTCTGCTCGCATCACTACTGCCATACTCCGGAGCCAGATGCGAAAAGCGTATCTATGTTCTCAGCTAATCCATCCATTCGATTCATTGGCTTCGCCAGCGATTTACTCCAGTTTTTGGAGCCTACGGGCCACATTTCCCTACGGTGCAATAGAAGTATGGAATTCCTTTGCAATGTATCGCAAAGAAATTCCGTATTTCATCGCTGACCCATAAACGGGATTGCTCTCATGTATAAACTGCGACTACTGTACCAGTGTGTCTCCAAAGAGCCGGGCAAACATCACGCGATTTCATCACTTCGCGATTCTCCCAACTGGACAAGTGACACGAGTTCATTGCATGCCAATCATCTTGTACTCCGTTGTGATAGTTTTCCGAAGCGACCAATCGAACTAATTACCACAATGAAATGAAAGATGATCGGCATGCAATGAACTCGTAACAGTCGTCCTGCTAGAAGAATCGCGAGGCGATGAAATCGCGTCATGTATGCTCGGCCTTTACAGTTCTTGAAAATTAATGGCGACATCCGACTGAGTCGCAATTGGCTGCCTGAGTCAACCAGACAATTGCCACCAAAATGGTGGGCGACTCCACCCATACAGTATCCTGCAGCCAATCGCTGTTTTCGGTGGCTCTTTTCCATCCCTACAGCAACCTCCAAGGTCGAAAAACGCCTTGAACACTTCTACAGTTTTGAGAGACTTCAGGCACAGTCCTGGACCGAGCTTCCAGAAGGTCAAAAGTAATGAAAAGCTCACAACTTTTTCCAGCCAGTGCCTCTAACGACGAAAACAGTTACAATATAGCTGTGGCAGTCCTCAGCGAATCGTCAATCGTCGTATGCACTTGAACAAGCATTAAATTTAGAACACTATCAAGCTCATCTACAAAAAAGGGCATCGCTATGTGAAAATCACAGACTTCGTTGCTGTGTCTCAACTCATAAAACAGGTATCCCGTTTACGGACAATAAGACCATCCAACTAACACTATCCGTTTCCAGCATCAAGTGACTGGACGAGTTCCGCGCTCTATCGATCTCACTGATTATTTTGATACGACCATTACAATTCTAGCTGACTACATCGAAAAAGGAGAGATAAAAGTATAAGATTGGCTTTATGTGTTCGAATGTTTATTGTTCGTGTTTAAAGGGCCAGGCATACTTCACGCGATTTCAGTCGCGACGCGATTTGGCAATATTCCAACTGTCTATAACTCGCTGTAAGCACATTTAAAATGTACAGAAGATAGAGCAATTTAACAATCCACCTAAGTTATACACACTATGCGTGTGCAATTTGCTAATGTTGGATCTGAAGAATTCTGGCGAACTGCCAAATCGCGTCGCGACTGAAATCGCGTGAAGTATGCCCGGCCCTTAAGGCTAAAATATCATTCTACGCTTTGGCAGAGCTACTGAAGCTCACAAAGACTTTTGTGATGGAAGATCTACAAAGGCGCCTTGAAGAGGTGAAATTTTCCACTTGTAGACACTTGCCTATATTCTGATCAAAGTTTGAGATTACTTATTGCCCTATGAATTTCAGATCCTCATTTTGACCGCCGATACTTCTACCGATCATCTCATACAAGCGGTTCTTGTAGCTGGCACATCAAACATTACAAAAGAGGTAAACACGCCCAGACAGCAGAAACAGAAGGGTGATCTCGGTTGCAGACGGAGAATGCTCTGCATTATCTCGCCGCTTGGAGTTTTGTGAAAATGGCCAAGTTACCGGACTTCCAGCGCATTCCGTACCACCAGTTTGTCATGCTTCTAGCCAGGTAGGCCAATAATTCTGGGAATGTCAAAACTTTAGGCACTCAGCTCTCTCCCTTATACCCACTCCGTCAGCGCAAATTCGGACAAGGGAATGCAGATGGTTTGAACAATCCAACCATGCTGCGCATCAATGCACTTGCTTTGAATGATCTGCTAAGCGTATGGAAGGAGTTATGATACTTCAAACATGACAACATACTCAAGTCCCAGTGAACAACGTTCGTTAGATGGCAGCCTGAGGGTGTGTAATCGCAATGATCACGGGTATCCCATTACAGAGAAGCACACTTACTAAAAACCTGAATAAGGTTTTAGAAGGTTCTCCTTGGAACATGCGGAAGACTTAATAAATCTTCACTTTAAACGCTCATAACTCCTTCCAAATAAGCATTAACGGATAATGCGAGTGCGAACAGCTTGTCCTGAGTTGGTCGGACCAAGTTCTGACAATTCCCTCAAGCCTTTCGAAAGGCGCATTTAGCCTCTAACCATAATCATTTCTCCACCGATCGTTTGGCTTACAGCTGCGAGCTACATGTTGCTCATGAAGTCGTCGCTGCTGATGCCGCTCTTCTATGGCTTGTCGGTCAACCTCATCCAGCTGTTTACGTGCCTGGTGTATTTTCCGTGGTAACTAATTTTCAACTTTGCCGTAAGACCATTATTCAAAATTCGAATTGCACTCAGATTCGTTCCGCTTATCTAAGTAAAGTAGATCGTCAGCTCATCGTAGAACGCATCGCTACTCTGCAAATGCCGGAATCGGTATGCCTGGGCCATAAGCGAAGTGAATGCTTAATTTTTTTCATGCAGGTGGCTCGTTTCGCCAAAAATTCGATGGAGTCAAAGCATAGTAGCCGAATCTGCCTTGAAGGAACACACATCAATCGTCATCTAGTCCGTTGTGGTATACCAGATCCTGAGAAACGTCCGAAAGAGACACAACTAGTGTTGAGTAGACCACGTGAGGGGATCAAATGGAGTGAGAAGAGTAAGCGCTATAAACAGAAGAAGCTCGGAGGGTTCGCTTTTATATGATATTATGTCTTTAGACCTAGAAGAGCAGAAAAAATCGAGGAGATCGAAAAGATTGAGAAGATCCAAGAAGTCCAGAAGTAGAAAGGTCATTGGAAACCATTTTCTTCTCAAGTCTTTCGAAACAAATGTTTTGCAGAGTAGAAGAAGCAGCCAAAGCAAAAGATCTAGCCGCAAGAGTAGATCGCAGCGTTCATCAAGAAGTAAACGGTCGCCAAAGTAAGTAGAGTGATGAATCTCACTAACAACTTTGATTAAGGGAATAATCGAGGTACAGTCTATGTTAATCATAAGCTTCCTTTTCCGCACGCGCATCGTCACGTCAACACCTCGCGCAACATCCGTGGGCGAGCAACATGGCCATACAAGTCGGCTTCATTGATCGCAGGTCGCAACGCAGGGCTCTTGCGCTGGAATGCTCATCCTTAAAAGAACTGGCTGATTGATACAGACGATAAACAAAGTGTGAAAGTACTCAAAGTTGCCCCATGAAGCTCATTTTTTATGGAAATATACAGCCATTCTACATCGCAAACTTGTGCTAATGAACAAATATTGCTCAATTCTTTTTCAGATCGGAAAGATCCGGATCAAAAAGCAGACGCTCGAAAAGAAGCAGTAAATCGTCAAAAAGACGTCACAGATCTAGCTCAGAAAGACGTCGCAGCAGGCGTGAAAGTAGAAGCAAAAGCAAGAGGAGCCAAAAATCAGAACGTAGTAATGGAAATGGTGAAGGTAGGAAAAAACGCGCGAAAGAGGGCGAAGAATCGGGGTGAGGAGTAATCTAGCTCTGGACTTGGTCTGATAAAAAAATCAATTCCAGGAGCGAAAGAGGCGAGAAGAGGCGTGGGAAGAAAACGAGGACGAGTAAAATTCTTTGACAAAGCCACTGATACAGCGTAGATGAATTTTGATGTAGTAAAGCAGTATGTAGCTGTATTAAAGCTGTTGCCCAGGCATAGATGCGTAGTCCCTTGAAAAGATGTCTATTTAGGTACGAACATCCCCAGACACAGTGTATCATATGCTGGAAAAGAAAGTAATCATCCTTAACACAAACAAAAACGAAATAAAGGTTTAGTCCTGCAAAACTCGAAGTTCTTGATTCAGAATTCTCAAAGCTGAGCAATGTGAAAATTTCGACGCAGAACTCCTGCTAAAGCTCCTGCTGCCTACGGAAGATTTTTTGAACGAAATCCGCAAAGAATATTTATGATGGCGAAGGTGTTGGTGATGGCGTCTGCGAAAATTCGTACTGACACCGTTGCGAATTAGCAACCTTTTTACAACGATTGTCAATCTTCAAGGGTTGAGAAAGATTTTTGACAGAGAAGTCTCTCCCGTCAATGATTGAGCCGTCATACTCAGTGGGTAAATTTGCATGAAATTCGTAAACGCTTGTTGTTCCGAATGTTGTCGGGGGGCGGGCGTTAGGTACCCAACCGAGGTGCGAGCGTTAGGTACCCAACCATTAGTGGTATACACTAGGCCACGCCCCCTGGCCGCTCTAACAGCGGGTACCTAACGATACACCAAATTCTAGCTGCTAGAAAGGCTCACCAAACTCGCTGAAGCGCTGGCGCTTGCAACCCACACAAAATGGATAATTCGAGAAAATCAAAAAAATGCGCGAATGAAAGCGCAAGTTTACAACGCTTTTTCTATTGCTTTTTTAAAACCAATTTTAGAACCACAGAAATTCGGTGATGAAAGTTAAAAACAGGGTAAGGCTTCTATGAGCAGTTCACAGAGATTTGCAAAAAATTGTGATAATCTGATCTAGCCCATAAGTCAGCGCGAGTTTCAAAACAGTAGACTTTGTAGAATTAATTTTATGATATTACTGAAGCAAAGCGCACTTTCGGAGACGCTCCTGACAGATAAGTTGCACGACATATTCCTTTGTTTCAGAAAAACTGCTTCAAATACATTTCGACAATGAGAAAAGGAACCGATTGAAAAAAGAGCTTCGACGAGAACTTGTCATCAGGAATCGGAACTTCAAGGCGGACTATGTGGCCCATTGATATGGGAAGGGCACTAGCTCTGTTCCAGTCAACGAAAATTGTAAATTACAGAGCTATGCCAGTTTCGGATGAGTGTCGCCAAGAGAATGCAACAGGAAAAAGCAGCAACTCTACTGAGAGCAATTATTGGAACATTTTTTGCTTTTTGGGGAGTTACAAAAAATGCATAGCTTTGGTTGAATAAACTGAGCATATTTTGGCTGCTAGAAAAGAAAAGAAATATGAAAAAATTGCACTATGAAGGCCTCCAAAAAAGCATTACAGAGAATGTAGACATGATGAAATACATAGCTCAATGAAATTCTCACATGAGAAATCTTCCAAAATGAAGAAAAATGTGTGCTTATCAATGCCTCATAAATCTGTTGGTCGACTATGACCGAAATAATGACCTTAATAATCTACGTTGACATGGTTTACAATTCCTGTGGCAATATTAACGCAAGTGTTACGACCCTTAACTTCACATCTCAAAACGAGCCTGATGATAATATGGAAAGGAATATTCCGTGTGATGTTTGCTAGGGGCGCATCCGAAAGTGCGCATTTCTTCACTAAAATCATAAAATTTGGGTTTATTGGTATTCTACAAGGTTGACTTTCATAAAATTCCCTCTGACATTATCGGTATTATCACAATTTTTTTGCAAAACTATGTGACTCATAAAAGCCTTATCCTGTTCTTAGCTTTCATCACCGAATTTCTGTGGTTCTAAAATTGATTTAAAAAAAACGATGGAGAAAGCATTGTAAACTTGCGCTTTCGTTCGCGCATTTTTTTGATTTTCTCGAACTATCTTTTTCATGTGGATCGCAAGCCTCAGCGCTTCAGCGAGCTAGGTGAACTATAGCAGCTAGGATTTGTGTATCGTTAGGTACCCGCTGTCAAAGCAGCCAAGGGGCGTGCCTTACTGTATACCACTAATGGCTGGGTACCTAACGCCACGCACCCAATGTTGTCCTGTTTTTTGATGAGCAATTCACGTAAGCCTATATCCAAACTGATTTCTCTTTGGATCACTAAAGTAATTGCCGCAGCTGTGAATCTATTCTTTACCTCAGGCAATGTTAGGTAATTTTCACTATTTTGACCCTATGGACGAGATTAGCAATCTGCAAAAAAGCTGATGAATTGGCGGATAATCCTTTTGACTTTTTTAGTAGTGTGTGAAGAACCAAATTTTGATTTTGATAATTTTTTAAAAGGGACCGAATGCCAGATTTCGTCAATTTAAATCTCGTGAAACGCCAATTCGTAGATACCCCTGCAGGGGCACACCAGAATCTTGTGGGACTGATTCATGCTAATGAATATATTATAATCAGAAGCCGAAATTCAAAACTAGTAGATGTTGCAAAACATCTCTTCCTTTTGAGATTGATTGTCAAAGTTAAACTTCGAAAGGTTCAAATTTTCAAAATTCTAAAGAGAAAAGACTGATGTAATTAGATGCGAGACTACCAACAAAAGTACATACTTTCCAGAAAATAGTGAGGCCTCAATCGATCAAAACAATGTGAAGAAATTAGTGTAAAAACTTTGCTCCGTACTGCATATCAAATTTTGGCAAGATCTAAATCTCGAATTCTTGCTATTGACTTTGTTGCAATTTGAAAACAAATTTTTAGAATAGACAACATTCGAGTGAGCATCAGAGCATTTTGCTAAATGCTATCGCATCGAAGCACTGTTGAAAGTTCTTCTAGATTTTTTATCTATAGGCTCTGAAAGAGGAACCACCGTCCGACACAATCTCTTCTCTTCATTGCCAATTTGCGAGCTACAACTTAAACTTTATTGCGGTTATGAGGTAAGGCTGCACGCAGCTCTAGCACGGTACTGGCACGGCGCAAGTTTGCTGCAACCGCCTATTCCCCGGCTAGCTAGCCCGCAGAAAGTGTGGAAACGCTCGCAGTAGTAATTAAGGGCCACGGCTCGTCCACTCCCACTGTCTAAGGCGGCACAATGGTCTCATAACGGCAATCTTTTTGAATTTGTTCAGCGTAGTAGAGTTCATCTTCGACACGTTCCTCGACTTGTCGGTCACTTTGACCGCTCTTCCCTACTCTACCGGACGTCGAACCCCTTGATCCAGGAAACCCCGGAACAGCAGGATCAATTATGTTCCATCCCAACAACGACTGTCTACACATCGAAACATTCAACGTGAGACGCCTGCCAAACGAAGTCCAACTATATAAAGTGCAAGAAGCCCCGAAAAGAACACGACTCGATACACTGGCCCTAACGAGATGGAGAGACGAATTTTAGGAACTTGGCACTTGCAATTGGCAAAGAGTAAGATCACTCACGTTAAAAGAATGGATCAGTTTGTTTGGGTGCCGCATATTGTAATCATATGAAAGGCAAATAAATCATAAATCAACGTAGTAATTGATTGTTTACTGAAGTAAGACCAAAATTGTGGTCCCAGCTTATGCTAATACATTTGTAACAATATTCCTACACAATTAACTTACTAAGGCCCGTATGCACGTACATCCCCGCGGGGAGGGGATGTGCGCTTAACCATTGAAATGATCCCCGCTGGGGATCCCTTCCCCTCCCCTCGCGAACCCCCGTATGCACAAAGACAATATCGGACAAGGGATCCCCTGTGGGGAGGGGAAGTGAACCCTCTTATGCACAAGAGGGGATCAAGCGGGAAAATCACCTTGCTTTCAAATTTTCTATGAAAAACTCTTTCTTATTTCATATTTTGACTGCAACTCATCTTCATCTCCTCACTTTCATTAATTTAGGGTTGCGAAATGCGCGTATGCAGTGACTGCGCTCGGGGCACTAAAAATGATTTTTTCTACTCCCATTATGTTCATGCTTTCTTGGATGCTGCCCACTTTCGCTCATGCTGCTCCATTTCAGCGTAAAAATGTTGAACTGTAGAAGTTGATGTGTCTCTGCAAGGGAATGGGTAGAAGACGTTAGGCTGCCGAAAAGGGGGGGGGTGCCGCGCGGACGCTCAAAGCAGTATTCTAACACATAACAGAAGCTGCAAATTGTGCCAGCTCTGCATAAACGCTGTAGCTATCAGCTGCATATCGTCCTTTATCCCAGGGGAATGATCCCCAGCAGCCATCCCTGCTATGCACAAGGGGAACGCTGGGGAGGGGATCACTCCCCAGGGGATTTCTACTCAGAAATAAGCAAATATGCTACTTTCTAGATTTTTTCAAGGCAGCTTATGTTAAAATAACAAGATAATGGCAATATGTCATGAAATATGAAAGTTACAATGTGTTTACTCAGCCTATATAGTTAAAACTATTATGTTATATGAAAAATGCGCAAATTTCCTGAATGATCAAGAACTCCTATAAATAATCGAAATTGGCAGCTATTGTTGCTCGGATTTCTTCTCAAGAGGCGAATATAGAAAAGAAAGACAAATTGCAAGCCACAGGTCGCTGAGAGAAGAACCCGGCTTTCAAAGAAAATCCTCCATCAAAATGAACGAAATGCTTGGTAATGACTGAGCAGAACCAGAATATCTGCGTCTCTGGCATGATCTACACCATCGAACCCCTACTTCGTTGCAGGGGATGTTGATCCCCTCCCCCGCGTTACTGAGTTAAATTCGCGCATACGGGGTTCGAGTGGGGGAAGGGAAGGGATCCCCTCCCCCATTCGAACCCCGTATGCACTGGGGTTCGCTCGATCAATACCTCTGAAACCATTCACACCATCCCCGCTTAGGTGCAGGGGAGGGGATCGCTCCCCTCCCCTCTGTCATGGCGGGCTTCGGCGGAGGGGATCGTTCCCCTGGGGATCCAGCTCCCCTCCCCTCCCCAGCGGGGACGTACGTGCATACGGGCCTAATTCTGCTCATACTTCTTCTCTAACTAAGATACGAACCAAAGGGAATAAGCGCCACAACAAAGTTTTCAAAAAGTTTGGAGTAGAATTTACTTAT